GCCGCTGGGACGACTTGTCCAGCTCCGACTGCAGCCCCGGGGCGACGGGGGTTCTGGGCGCATCGGAGGCGCGGGAAGGGGGGGCAGGGGGTAGCATCGAGGTGCGAGGACTGGGTTTTATTTATTTATTTGTTTATATATATATACACATACGAGACTGCATTGGCGTTTCGCGCCATGCACCTTGGTCCTTGAAGTTTGGTATGCAGGCGGAATGGCAGGAAGGTCAAGCCGACACTTTAGCGATGACTTCTTGTCGCCTTTTCCAGCATCGCCGTTATAAGAATGTCATGCGTTATCTTTCCTCCATGTTTCTTTTTCCTCATTCTCGCAGTATCTTGCGTATTCTCCCCATCCTCCTCAGCTCTTTTTGCGGAGGCTCGTCCTTGGAGAGCCTCTGGGGGCTTCACAAAACGTTTTCAGGCCTTCTGGAGGCCTTCTGGGCGTCTTCTGGGGGCCTCTGGGGACTTCCTCGGGCCACCCTGCCTCCAACCGCGGTCTCCCTGAACGACCAGGTCACGACTTGGAATGCCTCGGAGGGTGTCTTGGGGCCTTTTGGGCCGGCATGGGGCTCTCTTAGGCCCTCGTGGAACCCTGTTGTGCCGTCTTGGGGCTCTCTTAGATTGCCTGGAGGCCCTTTCGGGTGGTTGTGCGCGATTTCGAGCCTCCAAGGCGGCTTCGGACGCCCAGAAGACCGCCGCCTTGAAGCGTCGGGAAGCCGAAGAGAGAAGAACCCCCAAATTCACAAACAAACAAAAAACAAAAAAGCGCCAGAAAATCAATGAATGTTGCCTCTTGGGACCTTCTTGGGAGTGCTCTTGGAGGCCTCTTGGGACGTTCTGGAACGATCTTTTGGGGTATGACGGATTATTTGGGGTCGTTGTGGACCGTCTTGGGGCTCTCTGGGGTCGTTTCAGGAGCGCGCCGGAACGCTTGGAGCTCTCTGGGGCCTTCTTCGGGCTCTCGTTGGGTTCTCCTGGGTCGTCTGTAGGGTTGCCCCAGAGGCCTGGGGTGGGCCAAATTCGATAGGGGGGGGAGCGTTTTTGTTCGGGGTCCCCAGCCTTTTAAAAATGCATATACATACATACATACATACATACATACATACATACATACATACATACATACATATAGCACTCGTAATAATAATCATACTGATAATCGCAATTTTAATAACAAAAATAATCGTAGTACTCACAATACTGAGAATAGTTTTGGTTGGCTATATACACGCACAAGACTGCAGTGGCGCTTCGCGCCATGCACCTTGGTCCTTCCAGCCTTGCATATGTTGACACTTGGCGCCATTCTCTTTGGCCTTTGAGCTTTGGCTGTTTCCCGTCAAGTCCCCTCATGTCCCATCGCCCGTTCCTGTTTGCTCTCGCCCTCGCCTTACAGATTCGTGCCACCCGAATTTCTCTTGGGGTGCGTTCTGATTCGGATTTCGAGGCGGACCCTATCACGTGGCGCCAGAACGCCACCTGGAGGCTCCGAAAGAACGTCGAACCAAAATCGCGTGTCTCCTTGCGCGGTCCTGTGCCTACTGGTGTCGTAATGGCCAGCGCGTCCATTTTCGAAACCGCTTGGATCGTTCAGCCGCGAACGATCGCACATTCCTGTTCAACGCTGGCCTTGAAGCCCGTTTGGGCCGTCTTGGGTCCCGCTTGGGCCGTCCTCTGGCCTTTTCATGAATTTGGGCCCTCTTGGGGACCTCGACGCTGCTACGACACAAACAGCGAATATGCACAAATGCACGTTTTCCATGAGGAATAGAACAATGTTTGCCATGTGGGGGCTCTCCTGAAGTCCTCTTGGGGCGTTTTGGGGGTCTCTTGGGCTGTTTTGGGGGCTTTTGGGCCGTCTTGAGGCCGTCTTGCGCTGCCGTGGGGCTCTCGCGGGGAACTGGGGCCCTCTAGGGGACCTCCCATGGCCCTCGTGGATCTCTCTTGGGAGCATTTGGGGGCCTCGTGAGCTTCTTTTGGGCAGTCGTGAGCCTTGGCCCGGCTTGAAGCCCTCTTGGGGGCCTCTTGGGCCGCCTTGGGGCGATCTCGCGGGCTTTTTGGGCCGTCTTGGACGCTGCAACCACACAAAAAGCGAAGATGCCAAACATGATCAAACATGTGCGTTTACTTCCGGGAATGGGACGGTTTGTGCTTTTTGGGGGCTCTCCTGAAGGCCTGCTGGGGCGTCTCTCTGTGGCCTCTTGGACCGTCTTGGAGGCCTCCCGGGCAGTCTTGAGGCCGTCTTGCGCTGCCGTGGGGCTCTCCTGGGGAACTTGGGCCAAATTGGGGACCCCCCATGTGGACCTCGTGGGTCTCTCTTGGAAGCCTATGGGGGCCTCGTGAGCTTCTTTCGGGCAGTCGTGGGGCAGTGGGGATCCTATTGGCCCGGCTTGAAGCCCTCTTGGGGGCCTCTTGGGCCACCTTGGGGAGAGTTTGCAGGCTTCCTGGGCCGTCTTGGACGCTGCAACCACACAAAGAGCGAAGATGCTAAACATGCACGTCTTCCTCCGGGAATGAAGGGACGACTTTTGCCTCGTGGGGGCTCTCCTGAAGGCCTCTTGGGGCGTCTCTTTGGAGCCTCTGAGGCCGTCTTGGGGACCTCTTGGGCAGTCTTGAGGCCGTCTTGCGCTGCAGTGGGGCTCTCCTGCGCCTCTCCGACCACTTCTCTGATCGCTTTGAGCTTGTTGGCATGGCCCGGCAAGGCGCCCTGGGAGGCGCGGCAGGGCTGGGGGGCCTTTTCCAAGGGCGTCCACAGGGCCGCAAAGCTCCAGATCTGGGGGGTCCCTTTTTTTTGGGGGGGGGGGGGGGGGGGGTTTTTTTCACGCCCCCCCCGTTTATCAAACTATTGGGAGAGGGATACTGCGTTTTAGCATGCTCTGGACCTCCTCGTCGCCATTGCAGGGTCACTTCAACAGTCTGGTCCGAGCGCAGCGAAGCACAGGCCCGGGCGGCGGGTTCCTGACTCCCGAATCCAGCTCGCACCGCGTCGGGAAAAATCGTTACGGTATGTTTTCGGCCATGCTCTATACCTCGGGCATGTCGCCCCGCCCCGGGGCCGTCAAACAGTTGCTTCGGACGAAGATCCCAGTTCGGGGGAGGGGGCCGAGGCCTCTGGGGGTGCACGCTGCGAGCGCAGCGCAGCACGGCCTCGGGGTCTGGACACCGAGGCGCGCAAGTATCGTAAGTAGTTGCGCTACAGGCCTCGGAAAAAATTAGCGAACACTCATGCCACATTCGTCTGTGAACGCCTCCCACTCCCCCCAATGTTCAAGGTTGGCGGTGGGTCTGACGAGTTGCACCTCGACCGCAGTCTCCCCCCCCCGCGTGCCAACTTTGAGTTTGAGGGGGCAGGGGGTGGGGTGTTCACTAATTGTTTCCCTCTACCGTATTTCGGGGATGCGCCCCTCGCGGGGCGTGCACTCCACGCCGCCCTGTGCCAAGGGGGTCGCAGCCGCGGAGTCCGGGCCGCAAGACCGTGTGGCCACGGAGAAGTTTCCCGCCCACGAGGGGGGGTGGGGGCATGCGGCAGGGTGGATCGGGGGCGGCAAAGAGGGGGGTGATGACTAGGGGGGGTGGATATCATGGCGGGGGCCATGATATTTCCCCAGATTTCAGGGCGCCGCTTCTCGTTTCATTACGTCCCTGGCCCCCCCGCCGGGCCGCGCACATGCCGCCGGTCACGATTTGCACCCCCCCCTCTTGGACACCCCCCTCTTGGCCGCTCCCGAGTGGAGCGAGGGAAAGGGATTGAGTTTGATGTGCTTAGCTCATGGACCAAAAAACCTCCCGTCTTGAGTTGTTGCAAGACGTGGGGGGCCCAGACTTCGCGCTCGCTGCGGCTCTCTCACTTGCGATTCTCCCTCTCTCTCTCTTTCTGTCTTTCTTTCTTTGTTCCTCCCTCCTTTGCCTGCATTCCCTGGCGCACGACTGATTTTTACGTCGAATCGATGACGTTGGCGACCAGAACGGGAGGAACGAGCGCAAGCTGGTCGACGACGACTTTCCCCCACCTCCCAGTCTCGATCGCAGGAGCCGCGGAGGAGCTGTGGTGCTACATGCTCGTTGAACCAGGGCGCCTGTACTCAGAGCGTGAATTACCTACCCCGCTTTCGCTTCCAGGCAAAACCAAGCCATACCACGCGCCTCCTCGTCAAGCGGCCTGACCAGCACAGGCTGCAATTTGGCATCGTTTGGTATCTCTTGGAAGCGAGGGTGGTCAAAAGCGAGGTAGGTTTGTTTTCCCCCTATGTACGAGAAAGCCAACCTTGGGTGTGCTAGGCCGACGAACGGTCGGGAACAGCTGGTCGAGGAGCTGAAGGAAGTGGAGACGGTGTGTGAGTTGACGCAGCAGTGGGACATCATGATGAGGGCGCCCTGGATGATGCCTGGGGCATTCGCGACGGTGCTGGCGCTGGGAAAGAGGAGCACGTGCAGTCCAACTGGGAGCCTCAAGGGAAGAGGCAGCAACCGGAGCTGCCGAACGTGCAACCGCACTCGGGCCGGGGAGCGCAGGAGCACGGAGAGTCGGGAGCCTTGAGACGGGGGTCAGTGCAAACGGGGGTCAGCCACGGCACCGGATCCTGCAGGATCCTGCGAAGACCCCCTCTGGCTGACCCGGGTTAGCGAGCCGCTCGTGGCCGCGAGGCGGCCGCACATATTGGCTGACCCGGGTTTGCGAAGACCTGCGTTGCAGTTTTTTTTTCCTGCGGTGCAGTTTTTGGTTTCCTGCTGACCCGGGTCTGGAGTGACCCGGGTCAGAAGATCCCCGAAGTGGCAGAGTGCGGGGTGGGCGAGGTTTCACCGCGCTCGGGCCCGGGCACGCAGGAGCATCGGAGCGCGGCAGAGGTGCGCGAGGTGGGCGAGACGCTCGAGATCCATGCGCGTCCATGTGGTGCTGGTGCTGAACGTGGAGGCTGGACACGAGTCTGGTCGATGCGGCTGCGGCTGTGCAGTCGACGTGGATGCGCATGTCTCTGGAGGCCCATGGATTCTCCCAGTACGCATACATGATGATTCTGAGACCTGGTTCCGAAGGTCTGGGGCAAGCTGCTGGATCGGGCGAAGGC